CTGAGTGTCATTCAACAATCATAAGAGCTTTAAAAACAACCCTAAATAAAATGACACACCAAAAAGTGTGTCAGAGTGAAGACCCAAATTCGATCAATAGAATTTCAAGATAGTACAAAAAATAGTTGCATTAAAGTAAAAAAAAAAAACATAAGACAGCTGCCGGACTGAAGGAACACACTTTGAATCTTTTACTGCTTCTCCTGAAACCAAATTAAACTTAAAGGTGGGGTAGGTAAGTTTGAGAAACCGGCTCGAGATACACTTTTATATTCCATGGAATGCTCTTAACATCCCGATAGCAATGAATATCTGAAGTGCTTTGACAAAAAATCCATAAAAAATGTCATCTGTGGAAGCTGTAGTACTGTAAAAAGCACGACCAATCATTTTAGCCGGCCCGGCTAAAATAACTGGATGGCCTACCTGCCTGTCAGCCTTCCATCTGTGCACAAACTTATCTCGTGCCCTCATTGGTCATGTGCGCGTTCGTGTGTGTTGGAGGAGGGGCTCTGTAAGGAAGTGGCAGATTTTCTCCGGCTGTGTATTTTCAAATTCTAGCGATCTCGAGCTGGTTTCTCAAACTTACCTACCCTACCTTTAATATAAAGTTCAGACCAACTTCAGATTTCATGTCTTTGAGGTTCTAACATCCTGCTGCTGAATGCTCAGAGGATTAAATGATGAATGATTGGTGGTGCGCTGCGGTTTCTACTGGCAACACTGTTGCCCCCCCCCCACACGGAGTCAGTGGTATGGGGATGAATTTAATTACGGGCTCGGCAGCCCTGACAGAGCCCGCCTCCGGCCCGTTCCCCCCTGGAGGTCAGCCGCCTTCACGTGGCTTTCAATCAACGCCACCGCTCCAGAAAAGCTCCGTAGCCTTAAATAAGGGGCAGGACGAAACCTGAGCCTCCTACAACTAAACGGGGGGAGAGAGAAAGGGGAATGGGGGGGGGGGGGTGCTCTGTGGGCGCCTTGCACTTCTCCCTCTCAAGATAGAAACTCCTGAACTGTTATGAAAAGACATTCCGGATCAAACAAAAACCTTAATTTAGCAAAAGAGAACACAAACATATCTCCACCAATGATCCGTCAGTGTTTTCCTGCAGAGAAGCATCATCTCTCTGACGGCTTCTCAGCCTGTGCCAACCATTGAAGCTTTCTCCCACTGAGAGTCCACCTCAACAGAAAGCCACAAACCAGCGACTGCAGCTTCAGCCAAATAACATTTATTTTCCTCTGACTGAAGGAGCGCAGTGTGAAGCGTCCACAGCTGGTTGCTGCCACCGCACAGTGCAAACACACCGCGGGCTGAGGGTCGGGGTGGGAGCAGTCTGCCAGAAGGAAAGCATTGTCATTTTCACAGACCAAGATCTTTCTCAGAACGCTGTGCGGGTTTGTGACTACTGACAGGCGCATCTCCACAAAAACAGGACAGGAAGTATAATCTGCAACATAAAATGCCTTTTTTCCTTAAGATGTCCTTCCAAAAACATATTTTCATGACATCACTTTTTCTGTTTGCATTTGAACCCCCAAATACATGTAAGTTTTTCCTTAAAAGAATGTGAAGAACAAGAAAGGAAAACATGGCATTTAGAAGTATCTAGAGCTGTCAATCACATTACTACTATTATTTATTGCTATTAATTCAAGTGAGTAATCTTCTGCATCTGCTGATTCATGTGTGCCTAAAGTTCCACAGCAGCCACAGTTATGATCCGTATTAGTTTTCTCTGTTTTATTTTGTCCCGTCAAGATCTGTCTTTGGTTTCCTTTTTTATTTTGAAAAATGTTCACCCCCTGTCTTGTCTGTTGCTTCCTGTCTCTGTGTTCCCTCCTGCCTGATTACCTGATTGTGTTCACCTGGTGCCCCTGTGTTTTCTCCAGCCTCCCCACCTGTGTCTTGTTTGTGTGATTAGTCTTGTGTGCATTTAAGTTCTGGTTTTTCTGTCAGTCTTTGTGAGATTCTTGATGTTTCTGGACAGATTTTGATTCTGAAGGAGTTTTTGTTTTGCCTTGCCTTATTTTACCTTGTTGCCTGGCCTTGTTCCGCAATTAAAGAAGTTTTTGTTTTCAACCAATCTTCTGCATTTGGGCCATGTTGTACCTTGCCGCCCAGCCGTGACAGCCACTGGATAGACCTTGAGGATTCTTTGCTGATTCCAGGGTCAGGAAAAATTACTGAAATTCAGTAATAATTCAACTGAATTTACAAAATACTTGAAACTGTTGGATTGTCATTGGATATTCATTCATATACATCAGGAGGATACGTCCCCTCCTGACCCAGAAAACGACGCAGGGGGTGTTTCTCAATCGCGAGTAAAGCTGCTTCAGAGCCACTATTTCAAGCATACTACGTCATCGAGTGCCGCAGAAGTACTGTTCCAATCTCCAGCATACTTGGAAATCTACCGAGCCCGGCGTACTCCGTTTGGAGAAATATCGAGTGTGCACATGAGTAGACTTCGCGGTCTTAAAATCCCCACAATGCTTTGCGCACGGACCAATTTCCCCAAATCTGTGGCGGAAGATGTAAGGCGAGGCCTCTCATATGACGCACACCTGCACACTTGCTAGCGTGTTCCACTCTTTGTTTTCCGAATGCCAGGAAGTATTCTTGACTCGCTTCTGAAGCAAGATGCTCGGCAGACATGTGCTACCAAGCAAGCGTACTCGACATTGAGAAACGCCCGGGTTCTGGCCCAGGCTCTCGTCATCTCACGCCTAGACTACTGCAGCTCCCTCCTGGCTGGTCTACCTGCATGTGCCATCCGACCTATGCAGCTCATCCAGAATGCAGCGGCTCGTCTGGTCTTCAACCTTCCTAAATGTTCCCACACCACACCGCTCCTCCGCTCCCTTCACTGGCTTCCAGTAACTGCTAGAATCCACTTCAAGACACTGGTACTTGTGTACCATGCTGTGAATGGATCTGGCCCTTCCTACATCCAGGACATGGTTAAACCATACACCCCAGCACGTGCACTCCGCTCTGCATCAGCCAAACGGCTCGCTGCACCAGCACTGCGAGGGGAACCCAAGTTCCCATCAGCAAAAACACGTGGGTTTGCTATCCTGGCTCCACAATGGTGGAATGAGCTCCCCATTGACATCAGGACAGCAGATAGCTTACACATCTTCAGGAGCAGACTGAAATATCATCTCTTTCGACTCCACTTCGAGCGATAGAATTACTAACAAAGAATTTCTAACAAAGCACTTATATACTAATAAAGGACTGGTTTATCTAAAGCCAGTTGAGTAGCACTTGAAATGTTTAGGCTCTATGAAACCTGATGTACTTATATGATTCTGTTTTCTTCAAGTTTGTATCTTCCTGGTCGAATGCACTTTTTGTAAGTCGCTTTGGATAAAAGCGTCAGCTACATGCAATGTAATGTAATATTCTGATTTCTCAGAAAATAAAACTTTAGCAAATCAAAATAAGACAACCATGATAACAAGGATATATCAAGGTTGTGTCTGTTATCCTGGTAAAGATATCTGAAAACTCTAAAGCTCCAACAAACTTTGAGCTATGTGCCAAGCACTGCGAGCGTCTGCCAAAAACTCTGCATGCTCGCTGCTGCATGCTCAAATATTCCAACCAGCCAAATGATCTTCCTGTGAAATCAGTCACAAATCGGGGAAACATGCTGAGCAATCTCTCTGGAGATAATTGTGTTTGTTTTTTTAAACCTGTTAAATGTGCCAGCTTCTGGCAGAAGCTCTGCTCTGCTCTCAGAAGGCCGGGGTCAGGAGGACCGGCACAGATCCCCCCCCCCCCCCCCCCCCCCCCGACTACTGCTTTACTGACCGCTGATGAAGTGATGCTTGTCTGATGCCTGTCTGATGCCTGTCTGACGCTGATAACGCGTTTGTCTCTGAGACACAGCGTGCTGTGAGAGGGAAGGTGCTTTTTCATCCTAAAAATCAACAGAAGATAATCGGAACCAAATCATATACTGATGAGTGTGAATTTAGAGCCCAAAGAAGATAATTAAAAAAAAAAAAATTAGAAATGGGTATCTATGTCTTAAAACAAGAAAGAAAAATGTTAGCATTTAAAATCATCTTACCATTGTTTCACATCACATTCCTCATGAAGTTGACCTAAATCATTTGTCATGGACTTCACATTTTCTGAGATTTTCATCCTTGGTGGTTTATAATTCAGGTCAACTTATGCACCTGCTGATGATGTGATATGATGTTGGGTCCCAAAACGGCTACTAAATGGACCCGAGGAGAGATTATTTGCCAACTACTGATTTAAACATCAAGAATACTATTTAGATAAATGAAATTGACTTTGAAAAATATTTGACAAATCCCTCTAAGAACACAGGCCAACGTCCACTGGAAAAACAAGTGTTCTGTAAAATGTTAGCTAACCTGTTGATAAGAGTAAAGAAAGCTACAGATTTCATCAACTATCCAACTGACAATTAGACTAGAATCTGCAACAAAGCCAAAGACCTCTTTTATAAAAAAGGTATGCCAACGTTAGTTTTGACATAACTTACAGTCAGGTCTCTTTCAGCTTTATAGGCTGTGTGCAGGATTCACATTTGCTCTCTTGATATCCAGAATGGGAATATCACTAAACTGCTGATCTCAAGCTCAATGCTACAGACATTATGGCTGCCTCGAGAAGACCCAGAGTCAAGTTAAACCACTGCACTGTTTTAAAAATGTTTTGGTATTTCAACATATATATAGATAAGAAAAAGCATGAACCAACAAACAACGAGCAGTCAATAAATAAAGATACCAAAGATGAAGTGAGACCCAACAGGAAGCCAAAGGAAAAAATGGCTGCCCTTATATTACAGAAGAAACAACATCAAGACTGTGGAGCTTCTGAAGGTGTGTCGTTGTGTGTTCATCATGTTTTTATCACATGTACACTTTTACAAAGAGCAACAGCTCAGCATCCAATCACACACTCACACACATGAAGAAGAATAAGAGGAGACTCAGGGACTTACCGGCGTGCACGAAGTAGGCCAGGTAGAGATCCAGCTCCTTAACTGAAACTCCAATGTGATGCGGCTGCACACACAGGGTGGGGTTTGAACACTGAGGAGACTTTACCAGCCTCTCCCCGTCAGTACTTTCGAGGGGAATCCCTTTGAATAAAATCACCATGACCAGGTCCAGCCTCCACACTTTGTCCGCCTGGCGCAGGCAGTCGATCCTCCTCATCTTGCCCTTCTGGTCGGGGTTGGAGAGCACACAGCACGGAGCCTTCTTCCCCGTCACCGTCAGCACAAAGTCCTCTCTGAACTCAGGCCGGATGTCCTTGCGCAGCTTGGCCAGGAGGCGAGACGCCCACTTCTGTTTGACCTCCGGCTTCTCGCCCAGCAGCTCGTCCTTCACGGCGCGCTCCTCCTCCTTGGACATGCGCTTCTCATGCTTCTTGAAGTACTTCCTCTTGCGGGCCTGCAGGTTGAACCATGTGTAGGCGAAGGCCCGGACGTGGGGGAGCAGGGCCTCGATGAAAGGATGGAATTCATCCTGAGGAAGGGAGAGGAGAGACGTGTCAATGACAATCAAACCAACATGCAACAACACAGCTTCCTGCTTTAAAGGAAAATCACTTGATTCCACTCTAAACTGTATCATCATATATCTATTTATTTGTATTGATATATATTATAGATATATATCTTTACATATATATTCTGTGTCATGTAGTTTAATTTCTTCATTTAGGCTGTATGACAGTTACTTCTTTCCATGAGAAAAAGGTTTTTGTAGCATCATTTTTGGACACTTTCAGCACAACATTTTTGGAAGGTTTGGTTCTTTACTTTATTTTCAAGTTTCAAGGCTTTTATTGTTATGTGTACATAGCTACAGTGTAGTTATGACAATGACAATCTTAGGTCACAGACTCCTCCAACAGTGCAACACAATAACACAGATAAAATAGTACAAGTAAATAAAATAAAATAGAATATAATAGAAACATAATATTATAGAAACAGTGCAGAATAGTCTATATACAGTAACTGGAACATTGATGAATGTTATGGATGTTGTTTCAAAAGTTCAGGTGTTTAATAGTCTTCTGGCCTGTGGGATGAAACTGTCCCTGAGTCTGGTGGTTTTAGTCCTGATGCTGCGGTAACGTCTGCCAGACGGCAGCAGACAGAACAGTTTGTGGCTGGGGTGATGGGGGTCTTTGATAATCCTGAGGGCTTTCTTCCTGAGCAGCTGGGAGTATGAAATGTGTTGTGAGTTTGAACAAAGTTTGGCTGCACAGCGTGAGTTTGTAATGAATGCCTTTGGAGAGGTTCAGAACTTAAAGTGGACCTATCATGCTATATTTGAATAATATAGTGTAGGACCATACCTATATAAGGCATATTTATACTCTTTTTTTTTCAAAATACCAAACAGATCATGCATTTTAGCCATGCCTCATTTAGCTCAATTTGACATTTTTTAGCTCTGTTTTAGCAAGGGTTGATTCTGTGAGAACAGCACCATCTACAGGCCTGGCATATGTACTACAGCGTCTCCAGCGCTTTCGAACTGCAATGGCCGTGGCTGTCTCCTCCTGATTGGTGGAGTTGGCCCAATAGCCGTAGCGCCACCGTCCTGACGTCAGGAAAGTGTTCAAATCTGGATCAGTTTTTATCAGATCCGTTGCAGCCCCTTTTTTAGAGATTTGGGTATGGAGGAAAATAGAGAGGGTTGTGTTTTCTGACACTTGGTGAGTTCCCTGGAACACCGGGGACACATATTCATGTAGAAAAGACGTACAAAAGTGCATTTTGCATGATAGGTCCCCTTTAAGTGATGTCTTCTTGAAATTCGCGAAACTGGAAGTGGGTGCCTCCTTGAGAAGAGAAGAAAGCACACAGGAATCCCAAATGATCTTATTTGGAAATTGTAGTGCTTTTAAATTCTAGTTAAAAGAAGGACAGAAGGAAGGATAAAAATGATCAAGGGGAGAGGGAAATGCTGAAGGAAATAAAGTAGGGATGGAAATGAAAGAGGGAACAAAGAAGGAAAGAAGGGGCAAAGAAAGGAACTAGAGGGGATAAAACAGAGACAAGATTGACACAAAGAAGACCGTAGGACATTCATCAGATAGGAAAAGGAAAGTATGACGAAGAAAGCAAAGCAGAGAAGCAGCTCAGTAAGTTTACAAGGAGGAAAAAGAACAGAAGCAAAGAAACAGACAACAAAGGGGAAAACCGAAATAAATAATGATACAAGGAGAGTCTGGAGAACAGAAGGGGTTAAGGAAGCAAGTTGAGAGGCAATACAAGACAAAGAAGGAAACAACAAAGGAAGGATAGCAGCGAATGCAAAAGGAAGAAAGAAGGAAGTTGTGTACAAAGAATGAGTTGTGATTGTGACAGTAATCCGCTGGCTGATCACAGGTCAGAAGGCAAATAGAGAATGGTTGTGTGTGCTGGGTTCAGGCTGCAGAGCGCTCTCTCTCGGCCCACACACACTCTTTAGTGTCAGTTCAGCCTGTCTCCCGCTTTCTTGGCTTTCAGGCAGGAATGTGGGTCTGTGGGGGTCTGCCAAACCCGAAGAAAAAAAACAGAATCCCACCAACTATCGACCAACCAACAAACCAGCGGCAGGCGAGCAGAAAGAGGCCGCCACAAGCACCGAGGCTCCCATCAGGGATTAAAGGTGAATTAAAGGTGCATTATGAGGCTTTGGCTGATGAATACTGCCCAGTTATTAAGGGTGGGAATGTGGTTAGAAAGCATGTCGTAGATTAGACCCAATTTGGGGTTGGTTACACCTGCTCTCCCCCCTCCTCCTCTCTTAAAATATATTCAAACTGGCAAAAGATTATCAACAATATTATGAAACTGATCTAACTTTGAATGGTTTTGGTTATTGACTCAGTCAGAAGATTCCGCATGTGTTCAGAATCTGTCTGAATATTGAACTTATTGGCATTGGGATATATATTTTTTAAATCCTCTGGAGCAGAGAGGAGCTGTGGATTATTGTTATTGATGAATGCATCGGTGTTTCTTAGGGTCAAAAACACTAAACTCACAACTTAAAATGAAAGCGTTTAGTTTATTTAATAAAAGAGCACATGTTCAATGTGAAAAGTGACAGTAGATATAGAATAGTTGCAATTTGGTGCTATATATATAAAAAAGAAAAAATTATTCAAAAAGAAATTATAATTCTTTTTTTTTTTTTAACACCTTGAATTTCAGGGGGGGGCGTGGGGCTCCGTTGGCGGGGCGCAGCGCCCCTCCAAGACAATGGTAGGGGAAACACTGATGCATTTATTTAGATAATAACAACAATAAAAGGTCGAGCAAGTGTCAAGTCTGAAAACTGAAATCCACGGATGCAGAGTCTCTACATTGTTTCCATGGCACCTTGGCGGTGCAGTGTATGAGAAGTGTAGATATTGTTGATATGGCCCTCTACATGTTTCTTTGTTTTGTTCTTAGGGTTGGGACAGTCGTCTGCGGTGAAGCTCAGTGGAAAACCTGTCATTTCAGTTTGTCGGTCTAAACACTGAAGGATGGGCAGAAAAACACTTTCATCACCAAGAGCACAGAAAACACAGACGGACAGAAAACATCTTCTTGGAACCTTCCTTATTTGGATAAAAGCTCTCAGAGGGTTCCTGAGCAGGATTGGAGGCCCAGTCCCTCCTCGAGAGCCATATTGAAAAAAAATACATAAAAAACACTTAACTATTCATAGATAGTCAATCCGAGATAAATCTTGGTGTTATTGGCCCATTGGCTCCCATTGAGGAGGTGAACCTGGAGATTGATTTGTATTTGTATTATTTTTGGATCAACTTGAAGATCTGGGTTAAAACATTTAGTTAAATACAGGAACTTCCGGAGGAGTTTTTTCCAGCTGTGTTGTCAGAAATCTCCTCTGTCAGATTTAATCCATATGATCTCAGAGCTGATACTATGAAGAGGAAACTGTATCTACAGGCTGTGGATCAGAGCACCATCTGCCTTGCTCTTTTTTGAATATAACATTGTTCACCCTCCCTTGTGAATGGGCTCTGAAAACAGCACATCGTTTATTCTTGGAGGTGGTCCAGCCAAACGGGTGCACCAGCTCTGCAGCCAGCCGCTCTGCAGCCAGCCGCTCTGCAGTCAGACGCTCTGTAGCCAGACGCTCTGTAGCCAGACGCTCTGCAGCCAGACGCTCTGCAGCCAGACACTCTGCAGCCAGACGCTCTGCAGCCAGCCGCTCTGCAGCCAGACACTCTGCAGCCAGCCGCTCTGCAGCCAGACACTCTGCAGCCAGACGCTCTGCAGCCAGCCGCTCTGCAGTCAGACACTCTGCAGCCAGCCGCTCTGCAGCCAGACGCTCTGCAGACACTCTGCAGCCAGCCGCTCCGCAGACACTCTGCAGCCAGACGCTCTGCAGCCAGACACTCTGCAGCCAGCCGCTCTGCAGCCAGCCGCTCTGCAGCCAGCCGCTCTGCAGCCAGCCGCTCTGCAGTCAGACACTCTGCAGCCAGCCGCTCTGCAGCCAGACGCTCTGCAGACACTCTGCAGCCAGCCGCTCTGCAGACACTCTGCAGCCAGCCGCTCTGCAGCCAGACACTCTGCAGCCAGACGCTCTGCAGCCAGACGCTCTGCAGACACTCTGCAGCCAGCCGCTCTGCAGACGTTCTCGGACGCTCTGCAGGACGGCCGAACACCGCCTTTTGTTATTTGTGGTTACTGTTAGAAGTGAGATGTGTTTCTGTTTATGTCCTCTGGCCGTTATAAGAACAACAAGGGTCTGCTGGAGGAATGATGTGTTGTTCAGCCTCCACACACATGCGCAGACACACACACTACGCATTCCACAGTGGATCTGCAGCTCGGCGCTCTGGCTGCAGCCACATACCAACATTCCTCACAATGCAGCGTCTCTGCTTCCTGATCGCTCACACACCGGCCTCCTCCGCCGCTTCACACTCTGTCCGTCCGCCGCAAACAAAATCCCACTTAACAAGTCACTCTGCCTCATTGTCTGCCTTAAAAAACGTGCCTTGCTGCCAGCAGGGGTGAGATAATCCCCCTCGCTTTCGGCTTCCCCTCCACTGTTTTCTGAAATGTGTCTTTAAATAAAATAATCCTGTTTGTGCATCCATGTCAAGATAGTGATTCAGCAAATGTACTGATACTAGCTGATTTTTGATGTTTCGTTTTTTAAGAACAGTAGAAAATGTCCCTTTTCGGTCCGATAATCAATCTTGTTCTATGTGAAACTTATTTTGATTGAAGGCTACAGTGAAAATCAAAGCAGAGAGCTTCACCAGAATTAAATAGTTATTACAATAAAATAATTTATAATCAAATGTGAGATAATTTCAACCCAATGGCTGTTTTTGCTGCATATTCTAGGAAAATAAAATATGTTCATACTAGGAATTTTTGAGAATTTGAGAACTGCAAAAAACATTTGTCTTTCAGTCATATTGTCTCCTATTTGAGCTTTCTGTGGCTCGGTTTTTAAGCTGACGTGTCACGCTGCTCCCCAGGTTGTTTTTTCCTCTCTTTTAAGGTCTTTCTTTCTTTCGGCATCGGAGGAAATCGCCATTTCTAAACCCGTGAGGGGAGTCTGAGAGCCGACGCTTACACGTTCCCCCTCTGCACCTCGGTGACACATGTAATGGGCTCCCAATAGCAGGACTGTAACAACAACCCCCTGAATAACAATCATGTAATCCCCCCCCCCCCCGTCTATTGACACACTGAGGGAATTATCGCCGTGTCACTCGGGCTCAGTGGCATGCCGGCGTGGCCCGGCTCAGCCGCCAAAACCTTGCCACTAACGGCTGGTGATGAAGAAAGAGGAGGAGGAGGATGGCATCATCCTCCACCTCACAAACACACTGCGGAGGAACAACACTGTATGAACACAGACAAACACACACACCAGGATGCAAGTAACAAAACCTCACCAATACTCTCAAAATACTTCATTAAAGAAAGTGCATACTATTAATGGAAAATAAGTGAGGAAATTGAATATCAAATTGATAATATCCATCAGTACACAGTAATCTCACAAGTTGTGAAAGAAATGCAGAGTGTGAGTAGGATCCTTTCTACACAAGAGGCCTGTCAAACTGTTTCTCTGATAAACAAACACTTCTAAATACACTGTTTTCAGAATGAAATTTGGAAGACCCGATCTCTTTGTGGTACATTTTAAGATTTCATTCATGGCCAATAATGGATGTGGATAAAATGTGTTTCTTTGGTGACGTTTATTATGTATTTTTTCAATTTGACTTTTGTAATAATCACATTTTAATTTTTTAGATCCTGCAGTGACCACAAAATTATATTAAGATCTACTCTTGGCATTTTCTGAAATCATGAAATTCAAGTGACAAAAAAGTAGCCGAAACCAAACCAATACATGCAAGACGTAAATAATGTTGAGCAAACCCCAAACATCCAGATCTCGTCGGCAATCACAATCTCTGGAACGCCACTGACACTGACGTGGAAATAAAGCCAGCAAATACCTCAAATGACCAAAAGCCTTGTTAAAGTAGTTAAATTACGTAAAAATCGATTAGCAGGTGTCATATGAGGGCGCCCCCTGCAGGCCGAGGAGCCAAAAACACACACTACATTTACTGACACAAGGTTTGGGGGGGGGGGGGGGGGGGGGGGGTTTATATCAGGAAATATAAATTTAAAGTTCAACTTTATAAATATTTTGCAAATTATATAAACATAAATATATTAATATTACAATTAAAAATGTGGGATGACAAATAAAGAAATGGTGTCTGGCACAGAGTCTTTGTTATTTGTAGGGATGAATACATGGCTTCAGAATCAGCCTGACCATTGTCCAATGTTGTTTAATGATCAAATGTTATCAGAAATCAGAAATAGATATTAATAAAATAAACAAATGAATAATGAAATCAATAAGCCAAAGAAAAAAACATCAGCTTGATTTTTTTACAAGAGCAAAGCAGTAAAAAAACATCTGTTTAAACTGTTAAACATTTGTCTTCCTGCCTCTTCATTGAGCAGGATTTATAAAACCAACTGCTGATTATTGGTTTTACTGGCTGATAATCAGATTAAACGTTAAAGCTTGTGTTCTGAACCGCGGTTCAAACACGTCTCCAAACAGACTGAATCTCTAACCAGAAAATCAGGATGACAAATCAGTTTTTGGGAGGATTGAGGATTTATGAAAGCTGCAGCAAAAATCTGACATTACACCAAAAACTGAGGGTAAAATACCCGATCAGCAGAAACACCACTACATGATGTTACTGCTTGTGTCACTGACAATATAATATTCATTTACAGCCTATAAATCTACTCATTTATAAATTATAAGATTTAAATATCAGTGCATCATCTGGTGTCTGAAGAAATTGAAATGTATTTAAAAGATAATCCTTATGATAAAGTTAATTCAAATAATTGTTGGATTACAAGATATTTAAAAATATAGCATTGTGATTTGTTTTAATTCAAGATTTAATATTGAAATCTATTTGTGTCCATTTGCCGTGGTTAATTTCAGGAGATTAAGCCAATAATTCCTGCAAAGGGAAGACAAAATCTGCAGCTAGAATCTCCAAGATGTCACACCCAAAAAAGCCCCTAAATCCTTTTTTAACCTCTGACCCTGAACACAACACTGTGGCAGAGATAAGGATTTTTAAAGAGCAAAAGTAGGTCAAATGTAAATTACTGATGGATAAATTAATGCAAATTGATCCTAATTCGTGTAGTCATTGTTTTTTTTAGTTAAAGTGTAAAATAAAAATGTAATGTTAAGCTTGCTGCAGGTCTGCCCTGTCACCTCAGCAGCTCACCTCTGACACAAACATTTCGTTTTTTAATGTAGACACACATATTTGTGTGAGGCCTTAGGTTCATATAAGGCCTCAACTGGAGCAGGAAGGAATCAATTCATAATCAAATCCACTTAGATTTGTACAGAACAGGATCAACCTGCATTGTTGAACACAAGCAGCCGAAAGAAGGACTGGAAGTCCTGCAGCGGAGAGACCCTTCCCCTCCCGGCAAGACCCTGCAGTTAGCGACCGTACACATTTATCTCTGCACACATATAAAGACGCACGGAGCCCCGAAACAACGTGTCACATTTATGAAATGACAACAAAAAATCCCATTGCACGTCTCGTTGAAACTGAACTACAGTCACAGCAGGTCGGCGAGTGCAGACACAGTTTGAAAGTTAGGGGGTATCGAAAAGAGAAATCACCAGCAGGATTACGTGTCCTTCACCTAACTTTGCTCCTCCACATTGTGCTTAACGTGTGCCATTCAGACTCATAGGGGACGCTAAGAGGGAGATCTCCTGAAAGAAGCCCCGCGCCCTCCAAACTCTGAGCCGGAGCTCCGGTCAAGGCTGGCCGGGCAGCGGGAGCCTGAGCCGAGCTTCAGTCAGAGGAGCAGCCCGCAGAGAAACACACACCCAGCTTCTCAAACCTGCTAACAAACTACTCAGAAACACGCAAATTGGACCGAAGAAAAGTTGACAAAAGTTCTGAGGGATAAATGACTGCTCGGAGCTAAAACATGTGAACTTCTGAGGCGCCGTCCGCCATGTGCCGCGCGCAGAGGAAGACGGCAGTGGGAGTGTGAAGAGAGAGCAGAGACTATAGGAGCAGTCCATACCGCCCATACCGTCCCGAGCACAGGCAGCAGGCTATAGGAGAGCCCGGACACAGCTCCCTGCAAAAAACAGCGTCAAGAAACATTGAAAAAGTTTGAAAAGCACTCACCTGTGTTAAACATAGCGGAGAATACATATCTGTCGATCTAATCTTAGATCTGGAAGGTGTGTGTTTATGTGTGTGTGGGTTACTGTAACTCCAGCCGGTGTGTGTGCGCGTGCGTGTGCGTGTGTGTGTGTGTGTGTGTGTGTGTGTGTGTGTGTGTGTGTGTGTGTGTGTGTGTGTGTGTGTGTGTGTGTGTGTGTGTGTGAGAAAAAGGAAGGAACAGAAAAAAGGAGTGAGAGAGGGGAAACAGAGCCCTCCTTTTGCCCCCTTCGCTTTCACATTTCCAACCAGGGCTGAACTTTGACCCCGCCTCAGGTTACATGTACTGTCCGGACCTGTTAGAGGCCCTCCGCCGGGGAGCGCACAACTTTCTGTCCTGACACGATGAACATCTCCAGCAACAAGAGAAAAGTCCCGTTATGAAAACTGAAAATTAAAAAAAAATTAAATCACAGGGAAGCCCGGTGTGGTGTCGGTGCTGAGGCGAGGGCGGTGCCGTTGGATGGTGCTAATCTCCAAATTGTCCCGAAACTGCATTTCAAACCGCCGGAGATCCGCGGTGACCAGCGGACCTCAGCAACATGTCTATCCGTGCTGCGGCGCGCTGTGGCCGGCGTGCGATGGTGCGGCTCCTCGGTGCTCGGGACGGTGTGCGCGGTGCAGTAGTGTCCGCGGAGAAAGAGAACTGGAGAGGAAGAAAGAAAGGGCACAACGGGATCCCTGAGCTGCCAGACGGCCGCCTCGCCTCTAAAACAACCGACAGCTGCTTTCCGTTAATGTTATCTCCAACAGGAGGAGACGGTAAAGAAGAGAGAGGGAGGGGGAGAGAGAGTGGGTCGGTGTGTCCCGGACGCAGAACGGAGCGCCACCTCCTCTCCGCTGCTCTGCTGTCTGCTCTCCGGCTCCGGTCCTCCACTCGGTCCGCTGCCCGGCTGCTCGGTGTGTGTGCGGCCGTGGACTGTGCGCACTGACCCTGCAAAGCCCGAACTGATCACACACTCTGCTTATTGATCAGGAGGGAAACATCGATCCTCCTCACGCAGTTTCACAAGTACAACCCGGTGACGCCGCTGATGTCTGTGAGAGAGTGTGTGTGCTCCGTGATCCCGAGGAACTGATCACTGTGTGGGATTATGGATCGGTATCGATTAGTAGCCTATGCACGAACTGATTTCAGTGCGTTTATAAAAACTTGACTGGCTCCGGTGGGCAGCAGAACAACCCACTGGTGTATAATGGTTTATTTTCATTAGGAGGAAGACATTGATTTAATCCAACAGCACAGAGTAAATGAAGTTGTTTCTCCCGCGTCTTTTGCACAAGTTTGGATGGTAACACCGCGCCTGACCGCCTCTCTCTGGGTCCAGCTATAGCTCTGCGGCTCCCTCTCACTCCACAGGCTGCTTTCTTTTCCTGTCCCGTTACGAGACGGAAAACAAACTCCTATCCGGTGCTATACCTCGTGTCCAAATGCCACTCCGGAACCCCGTAAACCGTTAAATGCCTCTCTGCTAAAACGCACAAACAGCCGCTCCGGTGGGAAGTCAATAAGAAGCTGACAGCTGATCAGATGTGATCTATGGAGATCTGACCGGATCCACTCACTGCAGGGACACACTCTATTACTTTCTCTGTAATTAAAGCCTCAAACACACAAATCATGTTTTATTAACTTGTTATTTTCTGAGGTTGTTGCTGTTGTCTGCTCGATTCACGTTACACAAAGTTATATATATCAATGAGACACATAGATCATAGATATGGCCAATCAGCTCTCACATTCTTTTTTATTGCTTCTTGAGTATTTTACTATGTTTATGAGTAAGTATTTACTTTGCATAGACATTTTTATTTATTGAATCACTCTCTGCTCTATAAATGTTATTTGAGCATAAATGTTGGGATGCACCTGGAATCCTTTCGTTTTTTCTGGTTTGTCTTTTGTAAAAAAACATTTTATTTCAACTGCGTTTTATATAGTTTTGAGTGATAAAAAAACCTCCTGAACTTGAAGTTTAGTCCTCAGAAAAGTCAGAATTGGAACAAAGTTAACTGGAGGAAAGGGTTATACTTATTTGTTTGGTGGATGTTTTGCACGTAAAATATTAAGTTAAGTACAGGAATATTATGGCTTACTCAAAAAGTAATTATTCTGCAGTTTGAGGCCCTTTTAAAGTAATACATTACTGTGTAACAACACAGGATAATAATAATAATAATAATAATAATAATAATAAGTGGGGAATACACGTAGGCTAGATGTCAGCGAACAAAGTAATAATATCTCACTCTGAAAATGGAAAAGGAACAGGAAGCCTTCCAAATTAAAAATGTAAAAGTATTCACTTGACATCTCGTATTTTTGTATTTGTTTTATCACAGCACAGTGACGCTCTGCTGTTTTGTGTTTAAACTTATGAACTGACCTTTGAGGTGAATGGAGTGTACAGCACCCCCTATATCCACACAGCTTACAGTATACCATGCAGAAAGAAGTGCCATCCTAATATTTTTTTATCACAAAAACATCAATACAATTATGTTTGGATCCTTAAAAAGATATTCACATTCACGATAAATGATGAACCATCTCAAATGAATGTATTATGTTGGTGAATCGAGCAGATGTTTGAACATTACATGGTATGAAAGAGAGATATGCCCAAAGGAGAGAAAAGTGATCTTTGGGTTTTAAAAAACTATGAAGAATCCTCAAGTGTCACTTGAGAAACACAGACACACTATAAACGCCTTTAGAGGAACATAAGAGCAATATTAGTCTGTAGATGGAAGTTACAATGCAAATCCAGTAAAACCTCTATAAAGCCACAGACACTGTGTTTCCCTACAGGACCGTTAAAGATGATACAAGAGGAGATCAAACTCCACAAACAGACACATACATCAGCTCTGAACCACAGACACACTGTGAAACACGATACAAAGATATCATATACTGCAGGAAGCCCAAACAGCACCACAGAGTCCTGGCTACATATCCTGACACAAAGGAACCACACAGTGGAAGTAGGGTCAAACTTGCCATGACAACACAATAATCACTATAAACTCACCACAGTCATATTACAATCATATTATATAGAGAATAAACTGCCATTATAGACTATATCATTCCTTTACAGTACAACAGACACCTTTTAAATCCTACAAGGATATTCTAGGAATATTATGTTAATATTGTAAGTGTAAAACATGTATACAGTAAGTTTAAAAAACAGCACTCATGTTTGTTTTATTTGAGGTGAATATATCTGCATGTTTCTTGTTGTTCTGACTTTGTATCAATAAGGTTTTTTGCACTTGTAATTGGATAAAAGCGTCAGCTAAATTAAATGTCATGACAGTCTAATAATCAAATTGTACGTTGATAATACTTACAAGTGTTGTATTAGCATACAATCTCATTACGTGTTTTAAATTCAGCCTAAAACAGACATGAAAAAACTCTGGGGGATTAGCGACATATTCTGGGATTATTACGATTATTTTAAGAGGTAATCAAATGCAAACTGGCATGTTTTATAGAGTGATATTGATATTGTGATGAAAGTATGATAAAGTGCAATATACTGATTAATAAGTATACCTACTTTAAAATCCCTACAGAGACAATGTAAGTATTAATTCAGTCATCATTTAAGATATAAAAGGGAAACAGAATGATCAACCTAGAAATGAAGTGAAAGGATAATAATACCAACAGGGAGACTCTCTGTTGAGCGTCACTGACAGGAACAAAGGCCAATATATTGAAATTATATTTAAAGGCTATAATGTAATTAATTTCAACCAGTTGTAATGCACAATTGAATGTCTTTAAACTCAATTTAGTTGAGTTATTGGTAGCCTATACTAAAATATTATCATGTGAAATAAAATATCATAAAATATATTAAAGACACAAAAAAGCACATTTTGAGACCTAGCCTACTTCAATGACATTGCATGCAAATAAGGTACAAATAAGAGACGGCGTGTAGCCTATACGCTTCATGTTCGATGCTCGCCTAATACAATAATTCACTTAGCCATATAATAAAGTTATAATGATTATGAGGGGACACTTAACTGCCAATTATAGATACATACATGATTTAGTGTTAATATCCTGAGTTTCAAAGGCTCATACTGGCGTTCCATTGCAAATAGTCTATGAAAAGTTAATATTGAGAAACTTTACTCGGGATTCTGCATTTCCGGTCTGACAAAGGTATTAAAGTTTAGAAAAAAAACACTCTGCGAAGAACTCGGGAGGAATAACTAACCGGAGAGAAACCCAGGCCTCTATGTTTGTTTGTTTGTTTGTTTGTGTATTTGTTTGTTATGTCATTTGTTTATCCCCATTCTCCCATTTTCTTCCTTCTGTCCGGCTGGAACCACATTGGTCTGACCCGGTTCCGCTCGGTGTGACCCTGTAGGGTACAGCGGCAACGTGGATTCGCTCCCCGCCCCGCGCTGCGAGCCTCCTGCCGCAGGGTGGGGAGCGCTCTCTCCCGGCCAACGGGGCGCTCAGAGGCGGCGGTGAGAGAAGAGGAGAGGCGGTGAGCGGAGCGGAGTCGGTGAGCGGAGCGGAGTCGGTGCACCGGCTGCTGCTGCTGGTTTTGGCCGCTACACATGGCTCTGTCCCCAGCAGTGAGGGGGGGGGGGGGGGGGGGGGGGCTACAGCACCTGCACTCTGCTGCTCTGTTACTGAGACCCTAACTGACTCGGAGTCAGCTTGTGTGTGAAGGCCAGTCAGAAACATAACATGTAGCCTAATATTAGAAAAGAAGAAGCAGACCTAACCTTACATCTGTTCCACGATCTAATATGATTAGCATTTGTCGAATTCGAATGTAATGTCCCTCACTCACAACCCTTTGGAAATTAGTGTGAGAGCTTCAAATGCAAGTAAACAAAACATTTCACTCAGTAGCTTTTCTGTAGCTTTCCACTTCTTCAACAGATGGAGGTTGAATTCGTAATGATCTGCTAATCCATCGAACTCCATTTTTAGATGAAGACTGTGAGATACCCCAAAGCTCCTGAATAACTGCGCATAGAAATGGAACTTGCAGCCAGATTTCTGTCCATTCAAATGTGTATGCTTTTACTGGTGTATTTGTTGTTCATTTACCATCAACAG